GGTTATCGAGATTAGAGGTCTTGTAGTCCAGACCGCCGTCGCGGCCAACGGTGCACACGATGAGCTTGCGGTTGCTGTCCCAGAAATCGTTCAAGCTGCGGTGGATCATGAAGGCCTGCTTGTTGTACCAGTCGGCGGCGCCTTGGTCTTGCAGTGAGGCAGCCAGCTTTGCACCATCGACCATTGCCTTATACTGTACCAGGCGTGTGTAGAAATGGTGGCCCTTTACCTCTTCCCAAATCTCAAAGCTAGAATCGCCCCAGCGGTGGGACACGTACTCGAGATCCGTCTTGATGGGCGACTGCGCTGGCAGCGACGCCTTGTAGAGGTACGACAGGTCTTTGCTGGGGTCCTTGGCGCGCAGGTATTCGGCGTACCGGCTCAGCGCAAAGGCACGGATGGCTGGACCGTCGTTTTGCGGACGACCCCAATGTCCGGTGAATGCCGAGCCGTCCATGTTGAACTTGGGCTCGCCCACGCCGTTGGACGGATTGGGCGTTGCCTGGATCTTGATCGTAAAGTTGGTGAAGCGCTCAAACATGTCCTCGTAGGTGGCAGGATCGGACTTGAGGTATGGCGCCAGTGCGTCCATGGTGAGAGCGCCATCGCGGGTCCAAAAGTAATAGTAGTCGGGGTCGTTGCGCGACGGAGAGGCATAGATGGCGCCGTTCCGGGACATGGCACCCCTGACGCGGCTCATTGCCAACTCGTACTGCTGCTTGGCCCAGGCGCCTTGCGAGAGCTGGCGCGCACCCTGTACAGAGGCTGCGGAAATAGGAGCCGGGTGAAAGGCGGTAGCGACGGCCAGCAGGCCGCACAGGGCGGGCACCCACATGGTCGGAATCATGATAATGGTAGCGTAGCGGGTGGTGGGTCGTAAGATGGCGGAAAAGGGGCGGATCGTGAGGAGAATGCTGAGCAGCGTCGTGGGTCGGCAGTTGGCACTGGGAAGGTCAGTCAGATGGTGCTGCAAATACTGCGCGCTTATATTTGGCACGGCGCCGATGGAAGAGCAAGCGGATGTACTGCGACGCGCTGCGACGCTGTTCTTGCTCAGCTGCCGTACCACCGACCGTTAGTCATCACGAGGACTGACATCTGCTAGTATGGATCATGCGCGAGCAGCCGGATCTGTTGGGTACACAGCGCAGTCTGCGGCTCCGCGCCTCTGTCCGACATGTGCTTGCCGTCTGGACCTTCAGTCGTGTGAGTGCTCGACCATTCGCGCCTCTCTGCCGGTTTACGCGCAGAGCGCACGTTTCTTCTCACCCGTCCATACTTGGCCGGCACGCGCTCGTGTGTAACATGCGTCCGCCGAGCTGCATCTGACCTGCTCTCTGCAGCGACCAAAGTGTGCTCAGCCACGGCTTCACTGATACTTGGCAGCAGGTGGTGCTAGCCAAAGGCAGGCTGAGCAGATGTTGTTATCACGGTGACGTCCTTATCGCGTACTACTCTGTCGTCAGTAGTCCACCGCCAGTCTTTACTGGATCAACCCCGCACTAGGATCTGCTTACTCGCCTGTGGTTGTGGCACGCGACACGACAGGGCTGTCTGCCGCTCAACACGAGGCAGAATTCTACTTTGGCTGCTGAGGTCTGTTTACCATACAAAAGTGTCAAGCGCCTACCACGTGCGTGACGCGTTATGCCATGACGTTGTGTGCCACAATGGCAGCCGCGACAGGTGCTTGCCTGGTCTGGCACGCTGCCATCGCAAAGCGCCGTACGCCAACGGCGGCATCTTGCAGCTGAGAGGGGCGGTTTGAGCGGGCACCATGGGACAGCACCTGCATGGCACGGATGAACACACAGCAGAGCGCTAATCGAAGCCGCACCGGTGTAACCTTTACCAGAGGCCTGACGCGCGGCACTCGACTCTCAGCGCGACAACATGTCGTAGCTGTGGTGCCATTACATCGCACCCTTACGCTATCACTGCCGGATAGCCTGCGTCATTGGTATACACGCCCGTAGACGAGCGGCGACCAGGCCGGCGCGGCACAGCCGCCAATGCCTGCTTGCAGCCCGTCTTGCGCTACATCCCGCACTCCGGATGTCACATGGCTACCTCCGCACTGAGTACCGAGACACTGAGTATATCTGATGGTTCGGCACTTGCTAAATATGGCCAAGGCGCCGGCGTCGATCCATCTGCTAGTCCAATATGCCGCTCTCGTATCGGGGCAAAGTGTCCTAAACGCCGCCATCGTGGCAATCAAGCCATACGTAGCCAGCCAGTCTACTATACTCGGTCGACATTCATGCTGGCACAATGATTGTCGCCTTCATTTGGCAGCCTACCATACTTGCGTCTGTGGCAAAAATATACCATGAAGGCGTTGCATAAACACGCACTCCATCTCAAAGTGGCCCGTATGTGTGTGGTGTCCTGGCAGCAACGCATTGGCGGCTAAGGTATGTTATGGGTGCTGCAATAGTAAACTTTATGCTTTGGCGGCGATGCCCCGCAGCACTGTGTAATGGGAAGAAAGCGACAATACAATAGATAAGACTGTAATACGCGCCATTTGCGGTGTTTCGCAAATAGAGACCGGTATTGTTTGTCGTGCGCCGGGTTTGTAGCCTACTGGTTGGCACCAAGAAACACTTGGAATATCACCATTGCACGTGTTCTTAGAGGCCTGTATCGCTCTTGGTAGCTATTGCCGGTTCTCAGTAGTCGGTGTGCTGCTTCGACGTTGTGGAGTCATAGTTTGACGTTTCCGCCGCAGAGTACTGCGTTTGAGTAACGACATTTTCCTGTTCTGCCATGTCGTCCTCTTTGGCTGGCTGATCCCAGCGGATAATGTAGATTGCAATAATAACGACGGTGTAGACGGTGATCAGGAGAATGTTCCTATGTTGCGCGCGCTACAAATTAGAACAGTGTACACGCGCGACATTGAGGCTGCATCCACATACCAAACATAGGCAAGCATGTCACTTGCCACGCCGACCGTTGGTATACCCGGCTGTGCATTGCGCAGGCCAGGCAGAGCAAACAGAAGCGTGATGCCAAGAGCCATATTGGCCGGCTGCACCTCGCGGCCCTGCATAAGCATTTGCGTACAGAGACCGCTGAGACTGAGCGTAAGCAGCCACATCAAGAGGCAAACAAACAGCGAAAAGATGATGGTGGTGGTGGTGCGTCGCGTGCGCACATAAAGGGTGCATTCGGTAAAGGCGTCATAGAGCGGCAGGGCGCGGAAATGGATCGACTGTACACTGCCGAAAAAGGAGAGCTGGAATGGCACGGCCGTGCGTGCCTTGAGCGCCTCAACCGGTCCGGTACTGTTTGCAGCCGTAACCGGCTCAGTGAATGCGGTCACGTAGACGTTGGTCGGATAACGGTCGAACGGATAGTCGCGCTGGTTGCCCTCCAGAAACGGTACAAGCACATCGCGAGCGTCCCTTGACAGCGTTAATCATGTTAGCCTAATCGCCGCAACCACCGCCTATCTGCAGAGACACGTACATCATTTGCCCGGCGGTAAACTTGATCAGCGTGGTGCCAATGATGACAGATACAGGGCGGGCAAGCAGTGTCGGCACTGTAATTCCGCTCTCGTCTTGTATTCCCGACCGGGCCGCGTTGGTAGCAACAATCACGTCGTGCTGCGTGATCGAGCGGCCGCCAACGGCAAGATCGCCGGTAGGCATAAAGGAGGCACGCACCTTGAGCTGTTTGCTGTTAAAATCGGCTGCAACGGCAGTGAGGTATATGTCCACATAGCTGCTAGCTAGCGGGCTTGTAGCATCCGGTGCCTCGGATGGCGTGCCGCCAGATAGGTATGGCGGGCGCTTTATGAACGACTCTTTTTTTGCGCTCTCGCTCTGATACATGTAATAGACGGGGATTACTGTGGTGATGTAGAAGAATGCAAGCCCAGCCAACCAGACAAGCCAGCGTACGCGGGGATGCAAGCGTAGATAGCGCAGAAAGCGCTTGAGGAGCGCCGTGACTGCCATGATAAGGCTCTGCTAGTGTCGTAGCAAACTTGTAAATAGCAAAGAGCAGTGGCCAAAAACGCGAGATTGCACCACACTATGCACCCGGAATGCCGCAGTACGGATTAGCGCTCAATAGAGATGACAGGCACAGATCACAGTGGCACAAAGCGTAGTAACGCAAATGCAAAGACGACAGCGGAAAGATGAGTGGCGCAAATTTGGCCGCGGCCGTATAAATACAGCACGTATTGGCGGCTAATGCAAGGGCGAATGTGGACTCGGTAGTACCTTCCACGCCTCGAAAGGGGCCCGTGTGCAGGGGCAAAGGGGTCTGTAGCGCGCTTCGACCGGCAGCTTGGCCGGCCGCAGATCCCCTTTCCACTCAAAGATGACGTAGTTTGCAAGGTAACGGCTTTAGTGGCTAAATGGTGCTACTGCTCTAGCTATCTTAAATGCTCGCCACGTATCGTGTAATTCGTCACCAACATTGTTGGTGTAAATGGAGCTGGTCACGCATGATATGGTAGGCAATTTGAAGGTCAAACCGCCGGTGCAAATGTAATACAGCTTCCGCTCGAGCTTGATGCGGCTGTTGTCGTATTTATTCCACGCGCGCCTTTTCACGTACATGCATCAAGTGCAGTATGGTGGTTCAAATACACTGTAGGCAGCATCAGCGATTGCTGAAATAATATAATCATGCGTTTTGCGTAGGCGAGGTCCAGTGCAGCAGCCTGCTTGCGTAGACGAAAGCTCGAATATCTGCATAATACTTTTTGGAACTGTAGGCGTGATTTGCACCACTATTCGTAAGACTTGCGCATTTTTGGCGATAAAGCATGACGGAAACACGTGGGAAAAGAAGGACTGTAAAGACGGAAAAGTATGCTGGTGTTGCAGTGGTGAGATGCTGGTGTCCGCAGTTGCAGTTGCTTATTGTCAGCACAGCATTAGCAACTTAGGCCGTGCAAGTGAACTCTGATGCGTAGCGACAGCGATAAAAAGGAGAAAGCAGACACATCGGCGTTTGATGCGTTAAAAGCAAAATGGTGACAGTGAGATTCGAACTCACGCCCACTGACGTGGACCACGACCTGAACGTGGCGCCTTGGACCGCTCGGCCATATCACCTTGGTGATTGGCGTGGTGTCCGAATTTTCAGGAGACAGCAGGCATGCACCGTAAAAACAGCCGATTTCCGAAAAAAAATTGTCGCGCTCGCAATCTAGGCATCTGTGGCTCGTCAATTCAGGTCGGAGGCGCTAGGGCTTACGAGCTATCGATCATCTGGTAAAATCGGTGAAATACCCGCTAGTAATAAAAAAAATGTGGGCTGTATTACGGCTACGTTGGATCTGTTAACCAGGTGAGCGCCAGATGCCTGCAAGACCGCGGACATTTGGTAAATGTTGGTGGAGTGCTCACCGGTAGTAAAAGTATATTGGATAGCATGACTGGACATTTGCCAGTAGCAGATGATAAAGGTATTGCGTGCGCGCGAGAGAGAAAAACAGACCATTGCATGATACAGCAAGCTGGCAGCGGCACTGGTGCTAGTCAGCATCTTTTTGTTCTGTCAGCACCTTCCGCCGCCTGCGGGGCACAACAATGCCTCGCCTCCATTTCGCCGTTGCAGACCGACGGGGCTTTGGCCTGGTTTCGGTGCCTTTCTCGTCTTGCTTGTCCGCCTTTTCCTTTTCCTTATTCTTTTTCTTGGCCTTATCCAAGGCATCTGCGATGGCATGAAGCTCGGCCGTCTTCGACATCAGATATTCCCAGTCTTCTTCCGATCGTCCTTGACGTCTAAATCGCTGACGGCTCAGTATGCTGCGAACCCACATGGATTTGCTGATGACTCGCTGCGTAAAGTCGCAGGCTAGAAACACACCAAAGGCAAAAAACCAGACACGAATAGCCTCGGGCACGCTTAGTCCGCCAGAGGAGAACCAGCCAAAGATGGCCATGATGGTTGCCAGCGCGTCTAGATATACGCAAATCCTGTGTTTCAGCGTATATGCAATCGCCAGAGTACAGTGCAGCAAACACGTACCAACTAGAAAGACAGCCAGCGCCAGCTGCCAGCTTGGATAGTAGAGAAAGAACCAGCCTTGCGTGCGCGTACTGAATATCAGCCAGCTTTGAGTCAACGCAATTTCCAGGAAAACACGGGGTTCATAGTCGCGCCCTTCAGCCAAGTTGGCGGTGTGCATGATAAACGTGCCGGCTGCCAGCATGATGGCCAACACCACTGACGTGAAAATCAAATGACCGAGATGCCATTTGACAGGCAGTTTTGCGTACGGCGCACGGTCGTAGGCAATCGTAAGCACGGCAATGTCGGAGAAGATGGCCAGAAACACTACTAGTTCCCCATTAATAGCGTAGCCAAAGATGAGGATGCTTAGCGTGATATCTGAACAGTATAGGACCGACAACAACACCGTAAGTTGCCAGAAAAAACACGGCACTGCGGTGCGCACGCTTGCGCTTACATAAAAGCAGGTGAATTGACAGCGCAATGCGATACTCTGAATAGCCGTGCATGCGATGAAAGATCCGCCGACTGAGAATCAGCGCATCAATGATGGCACTAAGACCGGGCGCAAGAAACACAATGTCGCTGGCCGAGCGTGCCGCGTCGGTGGCGCCTTCCACAGCAATGCCAACGTCGGCTTTTTTCAGCGACGGCGCATCATTGACACCGTCGCCTATGTGTTGTCGCGATACAGGCGGAGCTTATAAGCGTGATGCTCTACAAGCACAGGGCGCAATGGCTTACCAGTCATGGCTACTAGGTGATTGCGCTGCTGTAGAATCTGCACAACCTGATATTTATGCTCAGGGTAGACCTGGCCAAATCTAACAAGTTCGTGCGGCGATGATTAGCAGGCACCTTTCCAGCTACACGACATCATTCGGGTCACCCACCCGTCCGCTTCCTCCACAAAGTCATTCAGCGTACTGCCCTCCAATCCTTCCGAGATAGTGCCGAGGCCTAGGCGTTTGGAGTCGTAGATATGGTCACCGAGACTCAGCTGCTGGGCAAGATCCTTGGCAATAGCTACTTGATCGCCCGTCAGCATCTACGCCAGAGCTGTAAGCATTCTATGCAAAGTGGAGCAGCGCCGACATGTACACTTGCCTTGATGCTTAGGCCCAGGCTTTGCGCTTTCTCAATGGTTTCTTTGGTGTCATGGCGAGGCGGGTCATACAGGGAAATGACGCCTAGTATCTGCATATGGTACGGTGAGTACGCTGTAGTATAAATGTGCCGATGGATTGCAGATGTCGTACTTTCCAAGGCGCGTCGCCAGTCTTGCATGCCACGCCAAGTGACCGGAATCTAGTGTAAAGGCGTCTCGATAAGCCATCCGCTGCAAAGTGAAGCGACTAGGGGCGTGCGTACCCGCGACTTGCAAACTCATTGATTGCTTCGTCATAAGCCTGTTTCTGCTTTGCCGATAGTTCGCCAGTGTTTTCCTCCACAAGTTGCTGGACTGCTTGGGGCGCGCCTTTAACGCAGCTGATCTCGTCGCCGTCCGGTGAGCGCGCACGTGAGTATACATACTTATCAACCGGATTGAACGGCCGAAATTCTTCCGTCTGTGCAGTTAGCGTCAGCGCAGGAGAACAGCAATGCCACTGCAACTGCATACCTTGTGGCGCAGAACGGATGACCAGGTGTCCGGGTGTTTTCGACGTGTTGCCTTTATGATTGCCTTGTCGATGGCGTCGGCGCCCTTTCTGGTCCGCACCGAAGCTAGCACAGCCACACGCATGAGCTCTTCGGAAGAGCTTCCGCTCATCACATACGGGTCATGCACAGTAAGCTTATTGCGCGTAAGCGTTCCCGTCTTGTCGCTACATAACACGTCAACGCCGGCTAGGGCTCTTTACCGCGTGTAAGTAATTGATGTCGCGTACTCGGAACTCCTTGCACCGCAGTACACTTACTCTATTGCCGTCAGACGTGACACTATAGCCTTTTTGCGGGCAAGCATTTGCGCGCCGACGGCCATGGTGGTGGTAGTTACCGCCTGAAGAGCAGCGTTATCTAGTGCAATGTAGACTGCACAGCTGCACCTAGGATTACTTACCGGCAGCGCAATGGGCATTGTAGAAACGGTAACCACTAGCACCCAGCGCAAATACTGCACAACGTCTAGTCCGCGGTAAAACACGCTTATCAGCACGGCAAACAGCGCAAACATGTTGAGCTGGATCAGAAAAAAGCCAATGCGTCTAATCACTTTCTGAAAGTTGCTCCGGGGCTGCGCACCCCGCACCAGCTTGGCGGATTTGCCTACAAATGTGTGGTCGCCCGTGGCGGTAACGACTACGCGGGCCGAGCCATGCTTCACCACCGAGCCTGCACGCATGATTAGTCGTGTAGGGCGGATGGAATGCACCGGCAGGCTTACTGGAGTAGACGGTGTCGCCAGCATGCTTTCGTGCAGCCATAGATTCGCCAGTTATAGTCGACTGATCTACCTGCATGTTGATATCGTCGTCACCGACCAGTTTACCGTCCGCAGGTATGATGTCGCCCTCAGCAAGGTGGATGATGTCACCTGCGTGTGAAATTAGCCTTGCCGCTCGTATAAATACACAGCGCACCCTGCCAGCTTACCCGGTACCAGGTTCCGCGCTTCGATTTCTTGTTTTTCCCCGTTGCGGATAACATTAGCGTGCATGGCGAGTGTTTTCTGGAGCTCTGCGATAGTAGATCCCGCTTGGTAGTCCTGAATGAAACCAACGGTGGCGTTGATGAGAAGGAGCGCGCAGATAAGCCCAAACTCTATCCACTCTTGCAGGCCCGCGGCTAGAAGCGCGGCGAACTCGATCATGAACTGAATTGGCCCGTAAAACGCCATCACAAACGTCATAAAGTAATTGGTCTTTTCCTTGGTCAGCTCATTGCGTCCATAATTCTTGAGCCGCGCATGCACTTCGTCACGATCAAGGCCAGTGTCCGGGTCCGTCTGCAAGATGTGCGGTGGAAATCTTAACGATGTCTCCGTTCCCACTTGTTCTAGCCGTTGGCGACCAGGGGTACCTATATCGGACACTTCACCCGGGCTTGCTAAGGCATCGTCCTCGCCCGACGAGGCAAGCCACTCATCGACATCTTCTGAACCCGCTCTATCGTTGTTATCCGAGCTGCCATTCTGGCTGCCGGACGCTGTGCCGTGAGATGGTGGCTGTCTTGCCCCTGCCGATGATTGACCCTCCTCCACATCACGCGGCCGCGGTTGACGACTATGCTCCTCGGCCGGCCGCTCAGTTCCTATGCCAGAGTCCATGCTGCAATGGGGCGTCCGACACTTGCTTGGGTGTATCGAGGGACTGTGCTATAGTAGATAGTGCATTGAATCACGCGAATGCTGGTATTTTGCGAATTGACGAGTGCAGTTGTTCGAGTCAAGCGACCGTATTATGTACAGGACTGGTTGATCGGCTGGCTGATTGACCGGCCAAGCGCACACCAACGTTTCCTTGCAGCCTTATCCAATCTAGCGAATCACCGGCCACCGGAAGTGATTTCACCGGTTCAAAAGTGGCTTCGACGCAAAATCACTGTGGGAGCTTGTGGTCATGACGATGCTACACACGGCCGAGCGCATTGTACGTAGCACGCCATGGCGTAGTGGTCTCCTGCTGCACATTGACATTGCCCCTTGTCGGCAAACAGCTGATCTGCCCCTGTCGGCTAGGCTGCAGGGACTTGGCGCTCAGGGCTTCATATCGCGGGTGCATATTGAATAGTCTTAGCGCGCACGGTAGATGGCCGCTAGTCGTGCTGAGTGTTTCGTGAGCCTCATGATGCCATGCAGCGTATCTTTGGCCGATAAAGTAAGGTGGGTGCGCTGATACCAGTGCGTGTGCGCGCTGTGCTGGCACTGTGACGTAGTCGTGGATGTATTCCCACCCCGCGTGGTCAGCTATTCCCGGTATCCGCGCATCCAAGCCCGTGATTTTCGTTTGGTACACCGTCGGCGGACGCACCAAACTCCAGCTGCGCTGTGTGCAGCTTATTATCATCTGGGTTTTGGCTTGCGGCTTGCCCTCGATGCTATGGGCAGGTCACGCTGCTGTGCTTTGCGAGATATGTCTGGTTTTGTAGGCAAAAG